GTGTTATTTTTTTAGATTGATTATTCCAAAAAATTGTTGATATAAATAAAGTGTTAAAAAGTTGTGTAAATAAGCCTCTCACACCACAATTGTAAGCATTAGGGTATGAATTAACAATAAGAAGCTGAATTGTATTTCTTATTTGAGGTAAAGAACTAAAAATAATGGATAAAACAGTCAATGTCTTGAGATAAGATTTAAATGGTGTCCAGAAACCATGTAGAGCTATGGATCAACGATGCATCAAAGAATTGAATGAGTTTCTAACTGACTTGGAAAGGAAATAAAGACAAAACGGGGCAGTGTGCGACGACTTCAACACGACGACAAAGTTTTAAAGCTTTATTACTTTTTCATGGAGAGCTGTGGGAGTGCAGATTTGCATTCTAATGAAACAGTAATGTAATTTCCTTGATTAGTCAGATCTGTAATCTGTGGCTGTAATGATGAGCAGTTCAGTGTCTACTGTGCATCAGTGCAGCAGGAACAGCACAAATAACCACAGCCACGTATGAAGATTTAACAGGTTAATGTTAAAGTACAATTGACCTGCTGGACCTAAACCTTAAAAGTTCAAACGATTATGATTAAGCAGATGAATGCCTCAGGTGAAGCTTTTTTTTTGTGTGTGCATCTATATTTCTGTATTCTTTTTGGTATGCTATCACATTAAAGCTACAAACTTGAAGCATAGATAATATGATTGTCTGAATTTTGTGAATGTGAGCCAATAATTGTGAGTACATTTAAGATTTGTATGTTTTCCTTGTGGTCAACTTATACATTTGTGATATTAGATGTTTCTGCTGTGAAAATAAGTTTAGGAGTTACTAATTTGTAAAACGACAAGTGCATGATTGATTGGTTGATTTATTAAAAGGTTTACAGGCTCATTAGACACTTTACAACCACTACACAGAACAAAAGGAACATCAAGATGTCCGTCAAACAAAAATCACACCACAAGATATTTGCTTAAACTAAATAATGAGACAAATGTATATATTATGATGGAGACATTTAAAACGAGCCTCATCCTCAACAACACACCAACACTGTTCTTCAGACTCTTTGAATCTGTCCTTTTTTACCTATGTCACTTTTTGGATTCAACTTTATAAATAATTCAGTTTGAAACATATCCTTAATTTAAACACAAGTTTTAGGTATATTTTTCTTACATACACTTTGCATCCACTGTTCCTTACACATTTTAGACATCTTTACTTAAACATTTAGATCAAAACCTAAAGTATAGCTCTAAATTAAACTTAAATAACAAAAAGAAGAAAATTTTATCAGACTTTTTTTAGGGTTTGTTCTGAGCTTGTTTACGATAAAAAAAAATAAAAAAAAAATCCCAAATTTCCGAGTTTGAATCTATAAACCCTAATGAAGCTGTTCCACTCCTTACCATCAGATGGCAGTAATGCATCTTAAGGTTGTTTTCCAGCTTCCGACAAATGAGAAAAGGAAGACTAAAACGAAACCATCTAACATCCTTTGCTGAAATGTAGATTTCAACGTATGTGAGACATAGTGTTTGATCGTCGGTTACGTTTTTTGTCTTCTTATCATTAAGGCTGTTTGCAGAGAGCTTGTGGACTCACTAGCACCACTAACTGGAAATCAGTGGAACAGCTTCATCAGGGTTCAGCTTAGATTTGTATTGTTGTTTAGTTGTAGCTTTGTAACTGATCAAAATGTCTAAATGTATTTACTTACAGATGAAACATCTGATGCATGAAAGATTAAAGGAACAAATAGAAATCTTACCTTTTTCAGCTTAACTGAACTTTACAAATTCAGACAGCTACGTACAGAAGCAGCCATTCATTCAAAATGGCCCTTTCCAGTCAAACGCCAGTCGAATGGCAGCCAAATTCCAGCCAATGGAGTGACCCCCTCCTCCTGGGCGTGCATATTTATATAACTCCACCCTTTCATTGAATCACTGGGTCTGAGCGGGAGAAGGTGGTTGTTTTTACCTCTTAATGTCCACACATCATGAAAGAAAAAATATTACCGGTAGTACAAAGATTGATGTTTAAAAAAGTAATCTTAGGGGACCAGCCAAGGAGCAGCCGAGGACCCATCAAGGAAAGTGGGGACATTTTGAATGGCAACCACTGAACATACCCTGTTACTCCAGAGTACTTATGATGATGTGATATTTCAGTTTTTCTTTTTTGATCAATTTGCAGAAATTTCTACCTTTCTGCTTTTTTTCCGTCAAGTAGGGATGCTGAGTGCACATTAATGAGAAATAAAATTTACTGTATTGATTTAACCAAATGGCTGCGTTGAAATCAAGAATGAAAGATTTAAAGGGGTCTGAATACTTTCCGTACCAACTGTATGCGTGATGGTACTGACTGTATATACATAGATTACACTATGCAGCTCTTGAATTCTTAATTTATTGAGATAAGGTTGTTCTTTTAATTGTTGCACCTGAATCATCGGTTTCATCTCATCTTAAACTCTTGTTTTCGATGCATAAATGATTTCTGTCTGTGGATATATTTATTGGCAAAACCTCTGCTACACAGCCAATAATGTTTGCACGTATTCACAATTATGAATCTGAAACTGCAAATTTTAACAAACCAATCCCTCATGAATTAAAAGCTGTAGTTCATGATGAAAGCAGCTCAGCTGGTGCAGGAAGGAAGGTCGTAGCATTATTGTTTCTTTTTTTTCTGCTTTGTCAAGGGATTTCGTAATGTTTAAGTTTAGAATGCTTTAAGACACATATTATTAAGCCAGCCTTAGGAAAACTACTGGACTTAATGCTTTGGGCATTGGAATCTACGTATGTAGATGGAGAATCTGTGAATAGAAAGACTCACATCCAGAGTTTTCACCCAAAAAGTTGTTTATAAATATATTTTGTGATTCTTGAGTTCATTTTAGTGTACTTCTGATTATCTGATCTTTTAAAGTCACTCTATAGATCCCTTTCAGATGGAAATTTAATTTTTAACAAAAGCTATAATTTATGTGAATATCTAGCAAATTCTTCTGGCAGATTAAAGACTTTGATAAAAGCTTAACTTGTTTAGGCAGCTGGGTTTTTTCAGGAAATTACACCCGGCGGCCAATTGCAGCGGTTTAAAAGCAAAGCGACTCACAGATTCAAAATCCATGTCCAATTTACTTAGATAACACATTTAAAAGAAGCAAGCATGCCAAAGAGTACATAAATAAAAAATAAAAACAAGACATCCGACAGACTGTTTAAACACTCATAAAAAAAATTAAAAAAGCATACTATGTAAAAACTGGTGAAATACTGCAAAAAAGATATATATATAGATCTAAATATAAAATATCACAGTGCTACATGAAGATAAAAACTAGATGATGCTTCAGCTGCTAAAGACACTTGGAAACACTCCCTGGTTTTGTCCAGTAGGGGTCACTGTTTTGCTGCTCATCGTTCATCCTGTTTTCACCCTTAGTTTCTCAGCTCCTCGATGTGCCGCAGCACCAACATACATGCCACACTTTCTGCATTTTTCCCCCCATAACTGCTGCAAACTCAACACGTGGTGTCCGTTAGCCGGCTGTCAGGGCCAGGTGTCAAAAAGCGCCGTCAGACCTAAGCCGCCCCCACTGTGCAGCCGTGTCACAAGCACAGGAAGAAAAGGCTAGTTTCCCTGCCAGACCGGGAACAGCATATGCTCCACACCAGCTTCTGAGAGTGTCAATTGGATTCCCTTTTTTTTTGTTCCAACACATTTGACAATTTTTCCACTAATGTCATCTTGAGATTTGCAGCTTTTTACCATGCAGAGTTTACAGAGATGTGGGAGGGCAAAAAGTGCATTTTATGGTTTGACATGTTGCATAAATCAACTGGTGGGTGGAAGAACGACGCTGCAGTCATGAAAAAAAATGGAAACCTGCTCCATACATGATAGGTACTTTAACCTTTATTTTTCCTTTTAATAATCTCATAGGAGATGATAGAGTTTTAGAAAATGAGGAAAGAAAATAAAGAAAGAAAATAGAAAATTTATTTACACTATTGTTTATCACACTGTCCTAAAGTAGTATCGATCTGTTGATCTGCCTGTCAGTCCATTGGTTGCTAAGTTGATGTCCCCAGATAAACTCCAGTGCACCTGGTTGCCTCCAGAGGTCATCTAATTAACAAACAGTATCTATCACCGTGTAATTTAATCTCTGCCTAAATCCAGCTTCTCTGTGGAGGCCCAGAGATTTGTTGCAGAACATTAGAGAACAAACAGCACCCCAAAGACCGAGGATGTTTAACAAATAAACAGTTTGGCCTCAAATGTGCGATTCTAAACCAACTGAGAAGCTCATTCCCAAGTTAGGAAGCTGGTGTTGGATTATAGGAAGGTAAATATAGTCCAATATTTATCTTCCAGTGTAATAATCATCCTACAAAGGAAGCCAGAGATTCAACGGTTTGGTTTATATTAAAGAATTTTTGTGTGTTCCAATGGCCTAGTCGAAGTCCAACACTAAATCCAATCTGTATTAATGCCTAAGAGTCTGTTTTGTGAGTTTAATAGCAAGCAAATAATTTTAAAGATGTGTACCTTAATGGAATCCTTTTTTTCTCCATCCATTTTCTGACACAATTTATTCCAAGCGGGATCGCGAGGGGTGCTGGTGCCTATCTCCAGCTGTCTACGGGCTAGAGGCGGGGTCCACCCTGGGCAGGTCTCCAGTCCATCGCAGGGCAACACAGACAAACAACCATTCACACAGACTCACACCTAAGGAGAATTTAGAGAAGCCAATTAACCTAACAGTCATGTTGTTGGACTTTGGTAGGAAGCCGGAGTACCCGGAGAGAACCCCCGCATGCTCAGGGAGAACATGCAAACTCCATGCAGAAAGACCCTCCCTATTTTTTTAAGACTTTCCCTATTAACCTAAAAACTGCTCTTTGTAAATAAAAAAAAAAAGAAACCTTATAATTACTTCAAAAATTATAAATCCTTTGTCATATTTTTACCAATTTTTTCACCCACGCAATGATGCTGTTAGGTCTTACTGGACTGGAACCTACAGAGTAAAAACCATTACGATGTTTGTATCGTATTGCGATACAAACATTGTAATCGTGTAAATGTAGACAATGCCATACTGCGTCACTGCCTCAATGTTGCCATGAGCAGTTATACAAGATATCTGTTGGACCTAACAAAGAGATCAACTTTTTCTTTTATATTAGCTAACTGGCTTACATATTAGCTAGATAACATAACATTAAAACCCATATTGGAAGATATTAAGCAACTGTTTAAAGTGAAAGCAAAGCCTCTTTCTTTCGTCGTAACACATCGTTCCAATATATCTGAAAAAATGCTAACCGTAAATAGCATCAGTTAGAAACTGGAACTCTTTGTAGCATAGCTCTCCATCTGTCTTAGCATCTCCTAGCAGAAGCCAAACAATCACAAGCTTCTTGGACCAACTCTTCCTTCTCCCTCCATGTGGACCTAGATGTCATTCACCCAAAATGCATTGTTGCATAAACAGCAAGGCGAGATCCATGTGACAATATTAGATTTATGTATGGTTTTTACATAAAAAAAAATATATTTCTCAAATAAATGTTGTTACAACTAACCATAGATCATTTAAAAGTTTAACCATTGACTGGGAATTCAGAGACAATCTGAGAAGCAGATAAAAGTCTAGATGTGTTTCAGTTATTGGTTTGAAACTGTGGAATGAATTGAATGATGATTTTAAGTTGGGTCCTTTTTTGGTGAATTTCAAAAGTACCTTAAAATGTCAAATGATAAAATCCCATGTTGTTATGTAGATTTGAATATTTATATAGGTACTGTGAAGAACCTGGTAGGTTTTAAAGGTTGTACGTATAAAACAGGGTTCTTTTACTATTTTCAGTGTTTAATGATGTATAGTGTACCGAAAAATAAAGTGAGAGTGAAGTGAAGCATGTGATTTTAAAACTGTACACATGCTGTGATTAAACAATGACAAAAATCATGTATTTAACATCAGATATGTGCAGCACTCTTAGGGTTTGGGTTGCTAACCATTTCTTCCATTTTTATTTTAGCCATGACAGAACAATGCAAGACATCGTTTACAAGCTGGTACCGGGACTTCAAGAGGGTAAGAGTCACCCTGCTTTTTCACAAACAGTTTGAGCTTCAACCATGTTGTTCAGCTCAGCCTGACTGGTTTTACATCATAAAAAGATTCAGGCACTTTGTCATCTTATCTCACATTTGTGGATTATTTTCTAGGCCTCAACAAAGTAGCTTTTAGCGCGGAGATGTTATCAAACACTTGAGAAAAACCTCTTCTCTTTGTCATGTTTGCCTCTTGTGCAGCGGAGATAAAGAAGCAGAGGGAATTCTATCAGAAGTTGGGCATGGAGGTGCCTGGGGACATTAAAGGAGAGCTGTGCAACATGAAGACTCATCTAGATCAGCGCAACGGTACAGCCACACTCATGCATGGGCTCTTTCTGTCTCCTCAGAAATACCATAAGGCCATTCTTTCCACTGTAGGCTTTCATTTCCAGTTCAGATAAACATTTTAGTTTATTTCATGCTCCTTTTCTTCAGTTTGTAAATTCATCACCAAGTATAATCGGTTCTGATATTCCAATACAGGGAGAAACTAATCCAACCTAAAGGTTGAGCTCAAGTGGGTCTTCCAAATGGATAAAGACTCTAAGCATGTCACCTAGCTAGTTACAAAGTCCTTGAAGACAACAAGTAATCATGAAGCCACAATTTTAGGCCCATTGGAAATGTTGGTCATAGCTGCAGGAGAACAGTCTGGCTCACAGTCCTGATGCCTTTCTGTTCAAAGGAATGAGCCAAAGGTCCAGAAAGCTGTTTCTTTTTAACTTTAGTTTAAAAACGTTTGACGCAAATTAAACCATTTCCTGTTGGATCAGCATATGTATCAAACTCAAACCAGTGAAATAAAATTACACTTCAGACTGGAATAAAACGCGATTTTAGCTGCAATGTGTAACAATTACTTCAAAGTATAACAAAAAAATAAAAAATTGGGAAAGTTTTGTAATAATATCTGCAGTATTATATGATAAAGCTCAGAATTTCCTAAACAAAGGTTTCACTCTCCATGGTGCTGAAAATGTTATATGCATGGTTATTTGTTAATCATCTTTAATTGGTGCAGCAAGAGAACAAATCCTGATTGGAGGGGGAAATCTAACATTACACTAAGAACAGGGGTGCTTTTCAGTTTAACATAAAAATTCTGCTGATAGTTTTGTCAAGCATTCCTTCAACACGTCTTATTATACGGTAGTTTTAACCCTTTAAAGCCAACTGTATCATATTTGATACATGAGTTTTTAAGACATCTGCATCATCATTTTAATATTTCTGATATTGCAAACCTTCACTTACACATTCAGACACAGGTAGTAAACAGAAAATGCATAACGTATTATAAAGAAATACCTGATGTATCAAAATTGCTGTGAATAAATTATCTAATTTCAGTTATCCAAAATGTATGTTATGTATTTAGTTGGTCAGAAAGTTCAATCTTAACTCTAATAAAACCATATAGAATTTCCTGTTTTACCTCTTGGTCCAGGCTTTGAAGGGTTTAAACCGTTTACTTGATAGTCCTGGAAGCAGAGCGTGTGAGCGGAGCGTGGAGCGAGTGTAGGAGCGGAAGAAATACGCTGGAGCGTAGCGTGGTTCTCAATTCAAAGGCCGGAGCGAGGATTTCGCTCAGCTCCATTTCGCGTCGATGTGCTCACAACAAAACCTAGGCCAAAAACTATGCTGTAGTCTGTGCCTATAATCTGTTATAATCTATGTTTCAACTTCACCATGGAAACGCTGAGACGAGGATTGCATATCCTGTGATAAAAATGGGGATAAAATATCATAAAAACATACACTAACTATACCCAACATACAGAGTGGGTTTACATAGAGTGATCGTTGTGGAAAGGGCCTGTTTTTCAAAATGGATCGCATGCATGCATTATACGCTGTAATCTCATTTACAATGGGTTGTGAAGTGACCTTTTTTAATGTATACTAGTAAAATAAATTATTAATTATATAGGAAACGCAGGGCAACATCAATGGTGCGAGGTGTTACGTTCACAGCTGGGAAACATTGCGATAATTTCACAGCGAGTTAAATAAGACAATACACACGTATCGGTGTCCCAGGACCCTGGCATCATTACAGGGAAGGAAAAATGTGAGAAAATGCCTTCTCCTTGAAATTGAAGAGCGTGGAGCATATTTCGCCGGAGCAGCAGGAAAATGAAGGTAAACGCGAGAAGCGGGAATCGCACGGCGCTCCGCTCCGTTCACATGATCTGCCTGGAAGTCAAGCTGACAAAGCAACTATCACCATAGTGTGGCAGTTATTTAAAGGAATTTATATATAAGAAATATAAGAATTTAACTAAACAGCATTTATTATGTATATTGTATAATGGGATAAATTTAAAACTAGTTTTTGATTAGTTATTAAATGCTGTGTCCCACATGATCAGTTCCAAAGAAGAGAAACCACAGCATTCTCTGATATCAATGTTAGAAACTATGTTAAAAATACATCTATGGATGTTATAACATGTTGAGATAATTATTACTAAATGTGGTTGTAGTCTCATTTTGTTTCAAATTTTAGTGCTAGAATTACTGACAACAAACCTGTGAGGTTGATGATGATGCGTTCATGAAAAATAAAAAAACATGAGACACAGTGTGCATTGGCGGATTAATTAAGAGTAAAACTAATCAAAATATTTTGTTTTTTTTTACTTGGTTGATGTTCTTTCTCCACTTAAACCATTTGGATGACTTGTGCAGGTGGGAATCCTCTTAAGTAAATCTGTTTGAGGTGCTCTGTTAGTTCTCTTCAAAATTTATTTTTGGCGCCAACACCTGTTTGGACCTAATGAGCCACCGTAGCAGAGCCCATAGTGGATGTGTTACTGAAATCATACATGCTGCGCTGTCCTTTGCTTACCAGTGCTGCAGCTGGGATGCTGCAGGTCACGGACTGTAGAGCATATAGACTCCTTCAGACTGTAACCATCAATCACTGACACTGTTTCAGAATTAGGAAAGTAGCATCATGGAACCTGAGCTGAACATGAGCTCATTTTCAACAGCACAAGTGTGCCAATCAGAAATGCAGCAAGCGAGACTTCTAGCATAGTTTTACCTCCACTTTCACATCTATGCTCTGTAAACAGTTAATCGAAATGTTTACAAGCTGAAAAAGTCATCAGATCAGACTTCATCCTCTTGAAGCCGCTGGATTTAAGGGGACTGAGCAGAGAAACACTTGTGGAAATAAATTTTTACTAAGCTACCACCTAAAAATGATTCATGCGAAACAGTTGAGTGTGAGCCACCGCTTTTTTTTTTAAAGGATGAAGCTGTCATGTTTTGGCCTGCGGCTGCTGTGCTGTTAATCAGACCCTTATCCGCGTTGGTTTTCCTCAGTCTGTAAGACGTCCACAGCTTATCTGGTTCCACATCGACCAAACTCTTCATGAAGGAAATATTAATTCTTCATTTCAGATTAAACAGTCTTTTAACATCTTTTTTATCCCAAAATAGGCAATGCCCTTCACCTCAGCATGGTGAATATGTCACTGCTCTTATTAGCCTATATAAAGAATGACCCTCCCCACCCCCATCCCAACAGTAATGACTTACATTAGCAAAACAACCATTAGGAACAGCAGAAGCCATTAAACAGTACAGATGAAGGCAATTTAGTCAACCAGAATGAGCTGCTGGTTTGGTTTTTGTGCACAGTGGTTTTTCCAAACCAGCTCACTGCTGCGTGATGGTGTGAATGTGTGTCCAGAGGGCTGTCATGCTGGCAGACCTAATCGCTCGCTTAATCCCCCTCTCTGAATTTTCTAATTAAGGCTCAAATAGGAGTGGAACTGCTCTCTGGTTCTGCTCTTCGAAGACAATTTCAGCAGAAGCAAGAACACAGAAAAACATTCACTCTGATACCAAATGAAACGGTAACAAAGGAAGTTCTGCGCTTTAATTCAGAGTTATCTGCATGCAGTAGATGCAAACTCTGCAGTGAAGGCTTCTGTAGATTTATATAAATATGCTGGATTTAGAGCGAGTGTTTTTGTTTATGATTCTGGGTCTATTTTTGGTTGTTTTGGGATGTTGTTTTCTCTTCTATTCCCTCTAACTATGCAGTCTGTGTTTTGGAGGAACTTCAAAGCAGAGCAGAAAAAGGTGTTTTTAGATGCCCTAATTGTTAAGTGTTTTAGTTGATGGAATAGATAGAAATGATGGAATTATTTGAAATAGTCCTTAGTATTTATCCTTGCTGCAATCTGGGAATTTCTTTGAAGGAAACCAAATCAAAAGATGCTTGAAATAAAGGAGAAAGATGAGTGGATTACCCAACCATTACCTGAATATTTCTAAACTTATTTTATATTTAATTCACACCATACCTCTAAACCGACCCTCTAAGATTAAAAACGGGTATCTGCCACATCATGGCCAGACTTTACACTCTATAAGGCCTCTTAGTCCGCAGAATATTAGTAAATAGCACATAGAAACACTTACAAACTGCCAATGACATTCTTGGTCAGAGGTTTTTTGGTCACAAGTGGACAACTTTAAACCAAAGCTGTTTACATTTGGTTTTAGAATTGAAATATCGTCTACATCAGACAGGGACCGTTTTAGACAGAAATTTGAAGAAATTAGGCAGATATTAATGTCTGAAAATAATGTCTCTGTTTAGGGCAATAGCTGCTGTTTATTGATATAATGTTTATTTCCCTAGCCTTTCAACATTATGAAAAGAATAATTAAATGCTAACCTTGCTTCTCTGCCTCACTTTAACACCAAACAAATCTAAACTTTGTAAATACCTCTGTCACATGAACAAATAAATGACACATGGCCAGTCCCCTGCCCCTATACAATCACACAAATGCAAACAAAATAGAAATACATTTTGGCAAATAGCATGGCCTGATTTGACCTGTTAGACTGATACCAATATGTTAAAAGACTTTAATAATAATAAATAATTAAACTTTATTGAGAAATGGAGAAATGTACCTTTGCATTTAACCCACCACCTTAGGGAGCAGACTGCCATCGTGGGGCACCCAGGGAGAATTCGGGGTTAAGGGTTTTGCTCAAAAACCCAGAGTGGCAGTCTGTGGGAGTGGGTTTCAAACTCACAACCTAAGAATTCCAAGCTCTATGCCCTAAACACTAGGCCGCCACACCTACCATGTTAATGATGGTATAGTTCAGGATTGGTTCTAACAAAGCTGTTTTTTTTTTTTTACCTACTATTATCTAGATGAAGATCCACTGCTTGAAGGGTCAGACTGATCACGTCAAAACCTAATACTGTCCTTAACCGCTTTAGAAGGACGACTTGTCCCTCAGTCTGTCCTAAAGGGCCTATATCATGCTAACTGATCTACTCTTTTAAACTTTAAACTATGTTAAAATGCCATTCCTTTATCAAAATCATACCCAAAGTGGCATTTTTCTTGATTCATGATAAATCCATAGTAATCCTCATTAGTTCTGCTGTCTGAGCAGCAGCCCCTCACTGTCCTGTGAAAAAAAAAATGGTTGGAGAATATCGAGGTAAACCAGCCCCCTCCAGGAAATGGCTGCCTTAACCGCGCTGCGCCTGCACTGCAAACAATCGCCCACTGTTGTCTCCTTTCAGGAAGGGTTGATGTGAAGCAGAGTGCAATGAATCTGGCTCAATGTTAAGATAAAGTGGCTCTTTAAGCAGCTTAACTGCACAGGGCAGTATTTTTCCCGGAACATATGGCTGCTTTAAAAGGAAGCGTTTTTCTTCAGCGTTGGAAGGAATGCCATGTAGTTCTAAGGTCATGGTTTCATTGTATATTTATCTATAGGTAACTATGAAAGGCTTTTAAAGAAGGCTTAATTTAGAAGCTATAATAGCGTCCACTTGTATAATAAACTCACATTATTCAGAATGGACGTAAGTGTGATGCCTGGAAAAGTCTTAATAGACTTAATGTTTTAAATCAAGGCTCTAGTTGCTTTTAAATGCAAACACTAAAGTTCTGGAGCACTGCTAGACTCCAGCCAAAACAAAAGCTGCTCCCACCAGCACACACTTATTTTTCTAAATTACCAGCACACAAGTCTGCAGAGTGCACTTTTGCTCTCACGACAATCTAAACTCCCACACTGACACACACACACACACATGGCTTACTCCATCTCTAACCCGTTACATGGTAGCCTGAAAATGTCATTGTGCATGCCTGTGGGATTTTAACGTTTAGACGACTTCCCATAAATCAAAAAAGAGACAGAAGACCGTTTTCTAATAGTACCGGAGGGGAGAAACTCAAACAGCCCAAGACTTCATGATATACCGGGGTTGTTTGAAGGCGAGCCTTTACAAAAGAGACGCCCGCCTGATGAGCAATAAGCGAGGCCAACGCTGGAGACGAACACGACGGACAAACTTAGTAATCCACAGAGGGATGGCAATACTTGGCTCTGATGGAAAATAGTCTCAAAGGACTGAATGCGTTTACTGTCTGAGCTACACACACAGTTATTACATCCACTGTATTCTGGAACAGACTGAATTTCTTTGTTTCTAAAGGTTACAAGAAAGCAAAACCCATTTGTGCTGCTTTTCTGTCAGCGCGACGCAATTTGGACTCCGATAACAACGTTTTATAGCTAAGAATTCAATACTGCAACAATATCACTGTCAAGAAGAAAATTCCTGATAAATGTTTGCTTTAACTTGAAGGGTTTGTGCTGCTTGTTCTTAGTGCTTTTATCAGGTGGATGCACACAGCAGCGTGATGCTAGATGCAGAGAAGATCCTCGGACTGAACTATCCGGTCGGCTTCCCCTCAGAGATGGGCGGCATGTTCGCTGTCAGTCTTGTCAGTTTATGATGAGGCTTTATTTACTCCAAAACAAACTGTTTCCTGATGTTAAATAGACTCAAAGACAAAAAGGTTTTGCCAAACATGATGAGTAAAACTTATCTGATTGTAATTTTTTTCCACTTCTTTGGAAATAGCCTTCCTTTCTGTCTTTCTTTGGTTTTGCTATTTATGATAAAGAGAATTAAAATAATTATTCTTGTCTCTTTGCTACATGGAAACTTTTAGAAATGCTGCACAGTCTTAACAATTGTCGCTCAGTTACAATATATTGTTCAGAAATCAACAAATCTTCTAAAAGCCATCGGTATAGTAATTGAATCTTAATGGACTGTAATTTATTATGTTTAGACTGACCCCTTTTTGTGTAAAGATAGATAAATTGTTTGAGTTAAGCCATAGAAAAATAAAAAGTAGCTCAGTTTTCCTTGAAATCAGTGTAATTTTGCTTGATTTCAGCAGGAAAGAAAATAAGAATAAGATGATTTATGCTTAAAACAAAAAAAAAAACAAAACAAACAAAAAAACTATTTTCTTAACTACATAATTTCAAATTATCTTATTTTAAGGGACAAAATTCTCATTGCATTGAAGCCTCACATTATTTACTCTCTCCAATTAAGGGTAAATACACTTATTTTTACATCTTTTTAAGGTCAGTTTCTGCAACAGCAGAAATGTTGTTTCTTAAACATCTTTTTAGAGCCTCATGCTTTCTTTATAATAACTTATGACATAGTTTGAATTTTTAATTGTAAGGATATGTTGGGAGAAGTTAAAGGTATTGTGGAAGATTTTCGTGAAATTTTGAAGTCCCGCCCTACCCACTTGTATAAAGAAAAAAAAAAGCACAACCCTTTACCCGCTCCCTAGAGGGAACGCCTTTTAAACGCATGTTAGAGCGTGCACAAGCCCATATCTCCTCGTGCACGCTCTGTTTAAAAGTTGCTGTTTGTGTCGCTCATACTTGCTTTCCTTCCAAAGGGAGATTTGTAATATTTCCACAACGTCAGACTCACCACCGGTAAGTGAAAATGGGGACGAGCATGTAGGACGGCTTTAAATAAACATATCAGCAGAATGTTCAACAATCAGGAGGACCACTTATTTTGATGATCTACCCAGAAAAAGAAAATCTTCTGCTATATCTTTAAAAATCTCTTAAATGCTTAAATGTTTCTGACTTTATATCAATAAAGTCCGTGGAGATTTTCCACTCCATCCTTACTTGTGCCTATAGGCTTAGAGATCGTGACTTTAGATGAGAAAAAACCGGCGGCGGTTTTAGGAACAGATTTTTCTGCAAAGCCTGGAATGCCATACAGGTTTTTAAGTTAGTATGGGAAATAAAATGCCTGGAAAAATATTTTACCAACTTAATTATCTATCTGTTGGCTTCAGAGATCCATCAATCCATCCATACAGATTTGTTATTCATTCGTCTTTTTGTCCTTACATCCATTGAACCATTTGTCTGTTGTTTTTTACAGATGAAAAAAACAGAAACCTGCCTATCTTAGGAAAATGATGGAGTTTAGGAGCCTTTTTCTCATCTATCTATGCAAATATGTGTACAGATTTATTTTCATGTCTGCACTTTTACTCCATGAGAGCTTTCTCTTCCTTTTTTTTTCAATCAGGTGAAATAAAATCAGAAGACACAGCAAACAAGGAGGCCGGGGAGGAGAAACCAGAGGAGGACAACGACTATCACCGTAGCGACGAGCAGGTACTGCATCACTCTCTGCTTCCTTTCTGACCAGATCACCAAACTTCAGAGTTTAAGTTGATATGATTTTTATGTTCTGCAAGAGAATTGGTGAATACGTGAGTAATGAGTAGTTTAGAAAGCCTCATCTGGGTTTTTGGTTTGGACATTCTGACAACCTTATCTTCAACTCTAAATAGGATTTTTTTCTTTTCTCCATTTGCTTTTCTTATTATTATTTAATTCAGGCTAAATGCTGTCAAGATATTTTTATTACAAGTCAGACTCTCCTCCATACGGAATTTTGTCTTCTCGAGATAACGACAGAACTATTTCGTTATCACGGTTAACCCATTAATTGATTTCTTGAGATGACGAGGTGATTAACCCGTATGAGTAACGAATGAGTTCAAAAGCCCTGGGTTCCCAGTCCATCCATGCCTGCAGCACCTGTAGTTGGGCAGCCACTTTACTGCGTGTGCACAAATAATAATTTTTTAGTTTCCTCCTTCTTTTCACTCATTGTCAGGTTGTGGTGGATGATTGGATTGCATGGAATACAGTAGAAACATATCTGACTGTTTTCTAAAGAAAATCTTTATTCTGCACTTATTTTGGGAGTTAAAGCATCTTATACCTGCTACCGGTGTAACATCGGGGCTGTAAAAAAGAAAAAACCCCGATGATACAACTCCGCACAGGTGGAAGCAAATCATCAAACCAACAACGCCATCTCGTTACCTTTTGAAAGGACGTCAAATTATCTAATCAAATAATGAATCATCTCGTTATATCACGAGAAAACGGCTTTCGTTATCTTTAGATTATGGTTAAATTAGCTAGTTTTCTCGAGAACGCCACAGAGAAAAATTATCAGAGAGATGCATCCGCTCTCGGCTTCCCTACAATGGAAAAAATTCTAAATCAAAATAAGTCGTTATATCTTAAAATAAGTGCATTTGTTCTTGGATTGAGGAGGTAAAAGATACATTTTGCCAATGGAGCAAGACAATTTACATTTAGAATAAGAAAACACAATTACATTGTTTTAATTCAAGTGCATATTATCTAATTATCTTATTTTAAGAGTAAAAATACACATTCCACTGGCAAACTATCTCATTTATCAACTCAAATTGAGGGTAAATACACTTAATTTAAGACATTTTTTACTTATTTCTAGATCGTTTTTCCAGTGTACATCCATACTAATTCACAGATGGAAATCATTTTTCTTATATGTATATTTAGAAAGAAGCAGAAATCCGCTCCCCTTCATCAAAGAAGCACTATCCCCCTGCTGTATGTGGGAGCGGTCGCCTACCCCGTCATGGGTGAAGATCTTGGCCTTTTGTAAATTCAGCAGTGATGCAGAATGCCCACAGAATAGCTAATATGGCAGTCTGAATGCAGCGATGTGAAATGTCACAGAGAGGTGGAGAGGGAGAGAGCAGGGGAATACGAGATGACATATAAAAGAGGGAGAAATTGCAGGAAATTGCAGGATTGAGAGCCCAAAATGGCTGCTGACAGTAACAGGGGTGAGAAGGTTATCACGAAATTGCAGAATTTCATTGGCAGATTTTTGTGTTGAGGGCTAGCTTCATGTTGTTTGAATGAAAAAGGTGAAGTTTGGTGAGGAAACAACTGATGTCAGAGGATGATGAAGGGGAAGAGGAAGATTTGAGTGAAAGCAGAAATAACTGCTTCCGTTGAATAATAATGTTTAGTGCAGATTGCATCAAAATACTTCGTCTTCTGCAGCCATCAGCGTCTGAAGCTGCTCTGTGTCTGATTGTTTTTCTACACCTTTTAACAAACCGCTGCTGTTTCAGTAGAAGTTTAATACTGTTATCAAGGCATGCAAAGCTTTAGAAGGTGTCTAGTTATCTACTATGACAAGGAATTTCTTCAGCAGTCGCTCCCTTTGCTACTGGCTTTCTACATTTTATGTCTGTTTTTTTTACTCTGTGTTTGGTCCATTTGTTTGTAATAAGAAGCATTTTAGTGTTTACCATAAAATACCACAACTATAGACATAAAGCTCCTAAAAAAGAGAGAAAAGCTAAAAAAATAAATGTCAGGTGCCAAGAAGGACAGGACGAAAGTAGCAGAATAAAAACAACACCAGTGTGCATTGAAGAGGCAGCCAGAGCTACAGAAGCTGCCATGTTGATAAATGTTTGAATTTATCATCTTATGTGCTTTAATAGCCAAGAAGAGTTTCACACGTACGAAGAGTAAGTTCAGGTGATGGAACGCTACACAGACAAGGGAACCTACAGTTAATGTTAACAGGAATAAAGAAGTGTAGAGTAAACGAATCCAAGTCGCTTTTAAAGAACACCAAAGCAGTTATTAAACAAAAACAATGTATCTTTCACGTTTGTTTAATCAGTTTGTTTCACAATGCGCTGTTTTCTGTGACCTTTTACCCTACTTCATGTTGTCAGACAGGTTCCCTTGAAATGAATCTGAAAAGAATAGAGCCAAGTCCTGACTGGTGAAAATAATTCATTAAATTAATGTCAAACATTCCACTTGATCATCAAAGTAAGTTAAAATAAACACTTGCAGACATATAACGAAAGTTACTACCGTAACTACGGTTCTATGAATCCCGGATGACCGCCAGAGGCGG